CGGGGCCCTGAGACTGACAGACCCCAGAGACAATGGAAAGCAGCCAACACTCCAGCTCGGCCTGATTGACAGGTTGGACAGACCAGTGAGGAAAGTGAGAGGCCAGGCCCCGTCCTCCCTGTGAGCTGGGATTGTTCTGGGTCTCTCTGAGCAAGGAGAGAGCTGAGAGCCAGCTAAGAGGAGCAAGCTGTGTGGAGAAGTCCTGCAGCAACAGAGCCAGGCACAGACAGCCCAAGGAGCGCAGACCCTGTGGTGAGCATCAGACTGGCAGTGCTCAGAGAAGCCAAAAGGGACAGACAAGCAACGCAAGGAGCTGGAACTGGCCAAGCAGCACAGCCTGCAGCTGGGTGTGGTGAGCAGCTGGGTCCAGCAAAGTGCGGGGGGAGGCTCTGGACTGGGAGAGGGGTCTGGCCACTTAGAGCTTGAGGCTGTGTGGTCACTGCCAGAGCAAGCGTGTCCAGGCTGCAGCCTCCTGCAGCACATCCAGGGCCACTAAGGGGCCTATAAGGAAGAGACTGTGAACTGTCCTTACACTCTGCAGACTGCTGTTTTGATGTCCCTGTGCTACAGAGCAGGGCTGTGTGTTCTCATTTAACCATTCTCATTTTTTCTTATTCTTTTCTCTTTAATCAGTTGGGCTGTGTCTACATTGGCACCCTTTTCCGGAAAAGGGATGCTAATGAGACCAGTCGGAATTGCACAGGACACCCTAACTCCTGCCCCTAGTGACGACAAGGTCAGGGATTAAGCCCCAGGAAACCTGGGTTCAGCCTTGTTGGGGTTTCGAGGACTCTGCTACTCAGGAGAGTTCAAACCAGGGAGGTTAATGAGGGCGACCGAAATTGCAAATGAAGTGCAGGATATAAATATCCCGCACTTCATTAGCATGTTCCCGGCCGGTCACCATTTTGGAAACTGACTAGCCTGGAATAACTGCCCGTGTCTACATGCAGCAAACGGGAGAGCGAAGTAAACCCGCTTAACTCGAATTAGCTGTTATTCCTTGTGGAAAGCAAACGCTCTCTTTCACCATCCCTGTAAACCCCGTTCCACAAGGAATAACAGCTAATTCGAGTTAGGGGTTTACTTCAATCTCCTTTTTGACTGCCGTGTGTAGAAGCGGGCAGTTATTCCAGGCTAGTCAGTTTCCAAAATGGTAACCGACTGGGAACATGCTAATGAAGTGCAGGATATTGAAATCCCACACTTCATTTGCAATTTTGGTCACTCTCGTTAGCCTCCCTAGTTCGACCTAGGGGGCTAGTGTAGACGTACCCTCACTTCCTCCACATTGGCTTTCCTGTCTCCCTGCCAACATTTCCTGGATACCCTCTGTTTCTGGGTTTAAGTAACTTAATGTCCCTCATGTCTGGAAAAGGACAGAAGCCCTCCCATCCATCACCCACCCACCTTCTCCACTCTCCCCCGCCCCTCCAAATCATGGATGGTGTAGGGCAGGGAAGTTCATACTGGATGTAATTTCTTCCTAGAGGAGAAAACCACTAGTAAGATATATGCACATACTAAATTCACTACTGAATACATGAAGAACTAAACAAGATTCTCCACATTCAAGGAATACAAAGACTTAGATTATTGGAACAGGTTTAATGGACTGACTCTAGGAAACTCTCATGAGAGAGTGCACCAGCCGCTCTATTAGAAGCTTCTGAAGTCAAAGTCTTGGAGAGCCAAGGTCCACCGAAGGAGATTTTTGTTATTGTCTGTGACTGTATGAAGACACATCAGTATTGAACGGTCAGTCTGACATTTTAAGTGCTGTCCCTTGAATTAGCTGTGTTTCTCTAGAGCACACACCATGGTACAGCCTTTTGTATCTGAGACAGGCCAGGGTCTTTCCCTCCCAGAGGGCTTCTTACTGAGAAACATGACAGAGTGGAATAGCCCATTTGGCTCTCTCGGCATTAAAACTGCCCCCACACCACGCTCTGACATGGCTGTGGTGACAAAGAAAGGTTTGTCATAGTGTGGGGCCCTTCATGCATTTGGTTTGTCCTGGAGTGACTGAAAACATCAGCATGAAATTGGTCCACAGTTCCTTGATTTTCTGTCGCTGCTCACAGCAGAGGCTCATAGACAGGGTTAAGTCTTTGAGGCCAGCCTTGGCTTTACCTTCATAGTAGCCTCCTTCAGGACACTCAGGGCACATCTACACTACATGGCTCCGTCGACGCTTCATTTAAATTAAAATGGCTGCTGCCCTGTGCCACTTAGCTGTTTGTCAGCAGAGTGCTGTAGTCTAGATGCTCCGTGGTCACGTTTGTCAGCAGAGTGCTGTAGTCTGGATGCTCCGTGGTCACCATCAAAGGTATTTGTCGACCTTCCCGGTATGCCTCATGGGATGAGATTTACCGGGGAGGTCGACAAATGTACTGAGGAGCCTCTGGGATTGCCTCTGGCCTTCAACCCAGTGGAAGCAGAGAACCCCCTATGAACCAGGTACCCATGAAAGATTGGGGAGGATATGCCCAAGGGGCAGCCAACCGTAATCTGGCTGTGTGGAGGCCACTGAATACCTGGTGTATTTTGGCTGGATTCCCCAGTCAACAAGAGGCAGAATTCCTTGTCATCAAGCTCTAGATGGGGTGTGATGGGATTGGGAGGGCCCACTCTTCCTCTGCCTCATCACCCCACCCTTTGCCTAATGGTCCCCAATCTCAGGGCCAAAGAGGCTGTGCTTGTCGGCCATCTCTGGGTCTAGGATGCCCAATCCTCTTGCTTCTTGGCCCTGGGTATATACTTGAGCCACAGACATTTTTACTGCCCTGCCTGGACTAAGAGCTTAGGGCTACTAACCGTAGGGTTGCTACTTGGCCTGAGGACAGCCTGAGCCACAGACCCTTCACTGCCCATCCCGATGGAGGCCTGGGACTCATATTGTCAAATTCAGCCCTGACTAGAGGCCTCAGTCGCACACCTTTCCCTGACCAAGTCCTTGATGCCAATAACCGTGCACAGCTCGGCCCTGGGCCCAAGCCATGGACCCTTCACTGCCCACCCTGACTGATTTTCCCTCACCAGCTGCTTTGAAGATACATCAGTGAAAGGTGCTGTGCAGTGGGATGATACACACAGACGAGAACTATTGATGTCACATCCCTTAAGAACAGCCACAAGTGCCTGTGGAAAGTGTCTGTGTCTCCCTCAGTCATCTGTCTGCAGATCTGTCTCTCTACTGTCTACACAGCCCTCCTGGGCATTCACCTGTTAGCTGATCTCCTGGGGAGCCCTCGGCATTAGCCCTAGTTTCTTGTTAACTAATCAACAATAACTGGAAAATTTACACAACTACACAGAGCAGCCACCTGCCCTCTGACTCAGCTGAGACTCTGAATCTTCTCATCTCCCACTGGGAAGGTCCCTTAATTACTGTTTATGGCTACCCCTGCATAAAGAGCCCAGCGGCAGACATGGAACAGAGACTCTGCCCTGAGTGTCTCCCGTCGCCAGCCTGTTTACACCCGGATGCTGCGTCTCCTGTAGATGCTGAGGGAAGCCCAGAGCTATGTTATAGACGGTGCAATCCCCACGTCAGCACTCAGCCTGGGATGTTGCTGTAGATGATGTGGTGAGAGTGATGTGGAGTGCAGCTACCTGAGAGAGATTCCCACTGAAGACATTTCCATCCGAGGATTCACAGGTACCATCCACTGCTGGGGAGCTCTCCTGCTCCATACCCTGGTGCATCATGGGTCCGATGGGGGAGGGAGTATGTCTATGGTTCTTTTTGCACTGCACCGACCTTCAACCTACTCGGTTCCTTGCCACAGGGGATGGATTTCCTCCATTACCAAAGGTAAAATGGTTATTCCTCGTGGAATGAGGTTTACCGGGGCTGCCGACAAAGGGCTTTGATGTTGACAGGGGGAACGTCCAGACTAGCGCGTGAGCCGACAAACAGCTGATCAGCTGTTTGTCAGCTCAGCGCGGCAGCCATGTAAATTTAAATGAAGCCGTGATCATTTAAATTGCGGCTTCTTTTGCCTTTGCCAAAACAACAAATCTACATGCCTCTGCCGACAGAGGCATGTAGTTTAGACGTACCCCTAGTGACACTAGCCTGCTGCGCCTCTGTTAGAGCAAACTCACTTGACATCTGCCCTTTGGAAGTGCCACGTAGAGATGCCGATCTGTCACGGTGACCCCTGTGTGCTCAGCATGAGGCCGATGGCTGAATTCTTCCATTGACCATCCTGCAACCTCCCAGGGAGAGGATGTGCCAGTGTGATGGGAGAACACCTGCCGTCCGGGTGAGCGGTACACACTGATGTACTAAGGCAGCCCCGCTGTAGCATTTCAAGTTCAGACAGCCCTCCAGCCCCTCACCCTGCAAAGCAGCCAGGCTGTATCTTTGGGAGAATCCAACCCTTCCCTTTGCAGTTACCCTCGTGGTTAATCACCATGGGAACATCTACACAGCAGGGCTAAGCGCTAAATAAGCTACACAACTTCGGCTACTCTAATTGTGGAGCTTAATTCGAAATAGTTTAATTTGACGTTGGCGCTGCCTACACAGAGGTTATATCTAAATAGAGCACTCTTCCCCGATTTCCCTTACTCTTGGTACAATGAGGGTTACAAGCATCCAAGTCAGCAGTCCTGGCATTCGACATGATTTCAACAGTATGTCAAAATAACTGCTTGCGTATAGACATGGACTACGTTGTTTAAAAATAATGTCAATTATTCCAAAATAACACTGCTGTGTGGATACAGCCCATCGGTGCTAAATATTTGGCCTTTATTTCTAGCTGGAATTTGACTGGCTTCAGTTTTCAGCCACTTGGGCATGCTCGACGACAGAGCCGGGTGTTACTGCGTCAGATGAAACGCCTGCATTCTATCACTAGCCAGCCTTTTCTCCAGCTTTCAATCATTGTGTGTCTCTTTTGTGCACAACACACTCCTATATTTCCACAGGTGGATCTGAGGGCTGAACGCAGATAGGTCAGGGAGAGAGATAAAGTCCTTCTCTTGTCCCATCTCCCCACTGCCTTATTTATGCATCCAGGGCCCTTTTGGCCACAACATCACAGAATTTCTTTTTTTTTTCCTTACTAGGCTCAACAACTTACTTTGTGGGATCTCTTGCCTTGCAAAATACAGGGGGGTGGGAACCAATGGGACGGAGGAGCAGATGGATTATGGTAGAGAAGAAACAGGTGACTCAGGAGTGGATGGGGTAAACAGAACTGCTTTATTGCCTACGTACATTTACCTTGGACATTCAACACAACATCCAAGTGGCAACAAATCACTGGAATGGGTTCCCTAGGGAAGTAGTGGAGTCTCCATCCCTAGAGGTGTTTAAGTCTCAGCTTGACAAAGCCCTGGCTGGGTTGATTTAGTTTGGATTGGTCCTGCCTAGAGCAGAGGGCTGGACTCGATGACCTTCTGAGGTCTCTTCCATCTCTATGGTTCTATGATTCTATGAAATCGGTATTAGTCAAATCCTTTTATCTATTTTAGTATGTTAATTCACACGTCTATCACTACTTTTCCTAAAGCCTTATTTAGTAATGTTACCTCCCACAAAATGAATATTAATAAGCAAATAATGGATACAATTACACCCACCCCAATCACTATTTACATTATTTCTTATTGAGTCAGCACTTGTCTATACTACAAACTAACAGGTTACAGAGATTGTAAGGAATTTGACTCTGAAAATGTGTTATGCAGAGCCAATGAGGGTAAGCAAGAGACATAACAAAATAGAGCTACTCCATACTTATGTGGTCTCCGAGGCTACGAGAATGAAGAGAGAGAACATGTTTATACATCAGATACGGGTTTTGACCAAATTCTTAATCCATCTTCCCAAACTACAAAAACAAAAGGAAAAAGCATGCTGTGGCTGACCCCTGAACCACTAATGTAGAGCCATTTCAGAATTATTAATTTTTACATATCCCAACAGATTGGACAGAGACATCTCTTATGGGAGGGTCTATTAATAGAGATTCTCTATGTTCTAGTCAGGAGGAGAGGCTGGAAGATGATAAAGTATGGGTCAGATCAGATGAGGAACAGTCAAATGAAAAAGAGTCTAACACAGCAGGAAACGGCAAACCGATACATAGTGACACATTTTTAAAGTGCTTATACCCAAATGCTAGAAGTCTAAATAATAAGATGAGCAAACTAAAGTGCCTCCCATTAAAAGATATTGATATAATAGACATCATGGAAACTTGGTGGAATGAGGACAATCAATGGGACACAGTCATACGAGGGTACAAAATATATCGGAAACAAATTGTCTTTTTCCATCGAGGGACTAGCTCAACCTTTTCTGTGATTTCGTCTGTTCTTAATATGCTGAATAGCCTCCTTTCTGTCATCCTTAGCTCTGAGAGCCACAGATGTTTCCATGATTTTTTAAAAATCTCTCACTGATGTTCAAAACTTCCACTCGGTATAATTTGTATAATTTGCTTTTTCCCCTTCCCCCCCTTTGTTATAGATTGCTCCCTCCATCCCAATTTCTTCTTTCCCTTTTTCACTCAGCTGAGTTTTAGCCTCAGTTTTTCACCAGCAGTGACTGCGATATTTTAGCTTTTATCCCTTATTATCTATAGATATTACTGGTTGGGAAGTTTCCCTCTTTTTTTTTTCAGTTCAGTGCAATAGTGTCAACTTTTTATCATCCTTTCCTCTATCACGTCCCCTTTGTTGGTTTCTTCCCTAAATTAAATTGTCTCTGACTTTTCAGTCTGTCCACATAGAACAGCCTCCCCCATTCCCATAGCCTCTCAGAAGCCCCCTTTCCGTCAGCCATATCCTTTCCAGAGACCAGGGGATGAAACCTGAGCACATGTCCTGAGCAAGGTCTTCTCCATTCCAGTCCTTTGGCGTCCCACGATTGTCCTGCCTTTGGCCACAGCTGTGACTGAGCAGGGGTTTCTGTGCAGTTGCTGGCTATGACCCCTAGGACTTTTCACTGTGGGCTGCTGTACCTAAGATGGTTCCCTCTGGCACAGGTCTTGGCAATAGTTTGAGTATTTGCTCAATCTGAAATGTTGAGCAACCAGGAAACTCTCTACAGCACAGAGTCTCTACCCTGACATTCATTGCATTAACCACCAGAGATGGGTAATAGGGGTCCCAACCCATTTTTTCCTGCTAGGGTCTATTACAGTTCCTCAGACCATGGTGCATTATTGAGCGTGGAGCTCCTTGAAATACGGCATTCACATTGGAAAGGGCAGCTGTTCATCAATCATTTATCTGAACTATGGAAACGTCACATTTCAGTGTCGAGACACCCATGTGTTCCAACCATCACACCCTTTACCCGTCGTGCATGTGTTGTCTGATGTGAATATTGTCTGTCCTTCTAGGCACTTGTCCTGTGACCATCATCCTGGACCCCAAGGACAGAAGAAGACATCAGGAGACCGTACGGTAGATACCGGAGACATTGGTCCCATTCTACTCTACTCCATGTCAGATTCCAACACAACCCATTTCACTAACCCCTCCGTCTTCATCCTGCTGGGCATTCGTGGCCTGGAGACAGCCCATGTCTGGATCGCCATCCCCTTCTGCATTATGTACCTCATAACCCTCTTGGGGAACTGCACCATCTTGTTCATTGTGAAGACTGAATCGAAGCTCCATGGACCCATGTACTATTTCCTCTGCATGCTGGCCATCACTGACCTCATCCTGTCCACTTCCATCCAGCCCAAAATGCTGAGCCTCTTCTGGTTCAATTCCAGGGAGATCGGTTTCAATGCCTGCCTCACCCAGCTTTTTTTCTTTCACTGTTTCTCAGAGATAGAGTCGGGGATCTTCGTGGCCATGGCGTTTGATCGCTACGTGGCCATCTGCCATCCCCTGCGACATTCCACCATCCTCACAAACTCGGTGGTGAGCAATGTCTGTCTGGCCGTGGTGCTGCGTGGTGGCTTCATCATACTGCCCTACGTCCTCCTGGCAAGGCAGCGGTCATATTGTAGATCAAACGTCATCTCTGTGCCTTTTTGCGTGCACATGGCCGTGGTAGAGCTGGCCTGTGGTGACACCAGTGTCAGTAATTATTATGGGTTATTTGTACTATTCTGTGTTAATGGTCTGGATGTGATTTTTATTGTTGTTTCCTACACTCAGATCCTCAGGGCCATCTTCCGCCTCCCCACAACGGACGCCCGGCTCAAGACTTTTGGCACCTGCATTTCCCATCTCTGTTCTATTATAATATTTTACATCCCTGGTCTTTTCTTCTCCCTCGTGAACCGATTTGACAAGAAGAAGCCTCACCCTTTCCATGTTCTCATTAGCAACCTGTACGTCCTGATGCCCCACATGTTAAACCCCATCATCTATGGGGTGAGGACCAAACAGATCTGGGACAGGCTGCTGCAGCTTTTTATTCATAAAGGCCACTGAGGTTTTCTCTTGGTGCTCTGACTTCCAAACTGAGGTCTGTGCGGAGCTGGCTTGTGACATGGTGCTGGGCCCTCTTCCCTGAATCACTTACTAGCCCATCAGGGTATGTCTTCACTAACCCTCTAGTTCGAACTAGGGAGACTAATGTAGGCATTCAAAGTTGCAAATGAAGCCCGGGATTTAAATATCCCGGGCTTTATTTGTATCTTCGCGTCTGGGTGACATTTTTAAATCCCCTTAGTCCGAACTCCGTGCCTGCGGCTACATGTGGCACGGAGTAGGTACTTCGAATTAGGATGCAAATGAAGCCCAGGATATTTAAATCCCAGGCTTCATTTGCAACTTCAAATGCCTACATTAGCCTCCCTAGTTCGAACTAGGGGACTAGTGTAGAAAGACCCTCAGAGAGTTATTAAGCCCTGTGTAGCTTTTCCTCTGCTCTGCCAGTGAGACGAGCTGGTGAGCTGAACAGGGTACATCTCATTGATTCGTAGGGTTTTCCACCTTTCCATTCTCTGGTAACTGGACCTCTGCGGCCCTGTGCCCTCCCTGCCTGTTCCCTTAAAGCCATGACCTCTGCCCAAATTTTCCCCACCTTCTTTTCCATTTCATTCCCCACTTCTCCACCTCTGTTCTGACTCTCCAGTGCACCAGTGGTCTCACCCACCGCTCTCTGCCAGTCCTCTATCATCTCCACCTCCATCCGCACCAGCCGGGTTCCCTCAGAACCAGGGTAGTGACAAGAGCTGCCACAGACTGACAAGAAGCCTGCAATGGGGATGCAGTCCTGGGGCCAGCAGGCCTGCCATGAGGACAGAAGGGAGACAGGAATTCGTATAAAAGCAGCCGAGGGTTGGGAGCAGGGTTCTGAGGCAGGTGGGGGAGAGCGGGCATCATACGGCTTGTGGGCCCTAAATCTCCGCTACAAAGCCCTGAGGGCAAACACCATTGTGAGGCCAATGTCTTTAGCTTGCTGTTCCCTTTGTTCCTTCTGGCAGGGGGCCTCTCGCAGGCAGGGTCCCTGAGGTGGGTGTGGTCTGGGGGCCTGTGCCCTGAGACAGGCCATGGGGTAGGGCCAAGAATCAACTTTGAAGCTGGGAGGACAGTCGGAGTGATGTCAAAGAATAACGCCCTGTCGGTGGGGAAGGCTGGAAGCTCAGCCGAGGCTGGGGTTGTATTGGAATCTCATGGGGAGTGAGAAAAATGGCCCAGCTGCCACGACACCAGTGGTCCTCAAGCTGTTTTTTTTTTTAATGACCACATGAAAATGGCTGAGTGTGCTTTGGATTAAAGTGCTACAGTAAAAAACCTTAATAATAACTAACTTTGTTTCTGATGTGCTGTGAAAAATAACTCTGTCTTTACACCTCAGAGTAATAGCCACGTTAGTCTGTCACCTTGACACAGGATGTTGCTCACGCTGAAGAAATGGGTGAAGAGTGATGTCTCCTGAGGCAGAGGGTAGAAATATATCACCCGGGCTGGAAGGACACAGGAAGTAGCTGTGAAAGAGCTGATGGGAGAAATCATCCCTTGTACCCCAAAAAGCACAGCTCAGATCCCTCCGAGAAAGGGGGGAAGTGGAGCAGGTATTAAACAGTTTTGGACACATTAGGAGAAGTAATCAACAAGCACTATGGCGACACTACTATGTTTATGGTAGGGGAAACTGAGGCTGACAGTCTCATGACAGTGATGAATATTTATATTGAGTAATCACCACCAGTCAGTTTAACTTCTGTGCCAGGGAAGATAATGGAGCAAGTAATTATGGAATTCATTTGCAAGCATCTGGAAGATAATAAGGTGATAGGTAACAGCCAGCATGGATTTGTAAAGAAGAAATCATGTCAAACTAAGCTGATAGCTTTCTTTCATAGGATATCAAGCCTTGTAGATAAAGGCAAAGTAGTGGACTTGGATTTTAGTAAATCATTTGATCTTGTCTCCCATGACCTTCCTATCAATAAACAAGGGAAAGAAAACCTAGATAGGGCTACTGTAAGGTGGGTGCATAACTGGCTGGATAACCATTCTCAGAAAGTAGCTTTTAACAGTTCATGGTCATGCTGGAAGGGCATAACAAGTGGAGTTCTGCAGGGATCTGTTTTGGGACTAGTTCTGTCCAATATCTTCATCAATTATTTAGATATTGACATAGAGAGTACGCTTATTAAGTTTGCAGATGATACAAAGCTGGGAGGGCTTGCAAGTGCTTTGGGGGAGAGAGTTAAAAATCAAAATGATCTGGATAAACTGATGAAATGGTCTGAGGTCAAGAGGATGAAGTTTAATCAGGACAAATGCAAAGTACTCCATGTAGGAAGGAAAAATCAGTGTCATGCATACAGAATGGGAAGCGACTGTCTAGGAAGGAGTACTGCAGAAAGGGATCTAGGGTTATAGTGGACCATAAGCTCTCAATGTGAGTCAACAGTAGGACACTCTTGCAACACCCCCCCCCCCCCCCCAAAAAAAAACCCAAACATGATTCTGGGATGCATGAACAGGAGTGCTGTGAGCAAGACACAAGAAGTCATACTTTTGCTCTACTCTGCGCTGACTAGGCCTCAATTGGAGTATTGTGTCCAGTTCTGGGCACCGCATTTCAAGAAAGATGTGGAGAAATTGGAGAAGGTCCAGAGAAGAGCAACAAGAATGATGAAAGGTCTAGAGAACATGACCTATGAAGGAAGGCTGAATGAATTGGATTTGCAAAGGAGAAGACTGAGAGGGGACATGATAACGGCTTTCACGTCCCTAAAAGGGTGTTACAAGGGGGAGGGAGAAAAATCATTCTCTTTGGCCTCTGAGGATAGAACGAGAAGCAATGGGCTTAAACTTCAGCAAGGGAGGTTTAGGTTGGACATTAGGAAAATCTTCCTAATTGTCAGGGGGGTGAAGAACTGGGATACATTACCAAGGGAGGTTGTGGTATCTCCATCTCTGGAGATATTTAAAAGCAGGTTGGACAGACACCTGTCAGGGATGATCTAGACCAGTGTTTCTCAAAGTGGTCGGTGAATCTACGTTGAGAAACCTGTTAACAGGCTGCGCCAGTTTGTTTACTTACCAGCACTGCAGCCACGGAGCTGGCTCCATTTCATCGTTTTCAGCCCAGGAGAGACACGGGAAGCAGACTTCTGGCTCAAGCCACTTCCCACGGCTCCCATTGGCTGCAAACGGTGAACTGAAGCCAATAGGAGCTGTGAGGCTCTGTGGCTGCAGTGCCGGTAAGTAAACAAACCCGCCTGGCCAGTTAACAGGTTTCTCAAAGTTCATGGTCCTGCCATGAGGGCAGGGGACTGGACTTGATGATCTCTTCAGGTCCCTTCCAGTTCTAGCACTCTAGGATTCTATTCTGTGATTTAAAATCTATGCTATTATACTTAATGCATCCGTTTTAGAGTCTTTTAGCTGTGATCTCCACATTGAGGGAGGGATTGACCAGAAAAAAAGGCAGAAATTTCTGTCGCTGTGCAGAGCATAGTCCAAGATGACGTACTGCCAGATGGGTGTCTGAACTCGTATCAGTAGATTACAAACTCCCCATGGCTTTGGCTAAAGTGATCGTACAACCTAAGACCTTGGAGGCCGTATGATCAATGGGGAAAGCAAATATAGACCTTTTCTGATATGACTAGAAGACTTCGGCAGCATTGCCCGAGTTCTTCAAGACAGGGGGCTGGTGGTATGGGGGGTTCAGGAGTCATGGCTGGGGGTTGAAGAGGGGCTCAAAGCATAACAACATGAAAACATAAGAACAGCTATACTGGATCAGAGCAAAGGTCCATCTAGTCCTGCATCCGCTCTTCTGAGAGTGGCCAATGCCAGGTATCCCAGAGGGAATGAACAGAACAGGGAACCATCAAGTGATTCACGCATGTTGCCCATTCCCAGCCTCTAGCAAACAGAGACTAGGGACACCAGACCTGCCCATCCTGGCTAATGGCCATTGATGGACCTAACCACCATGTATTTATGTAGCTCTTTTTTAACCTGGTCTTCACAATGTCTTCTGGCAAGGAGTTCCACAGGTTCATGGTATGGTGTATGAAGAAATACTGCCTTTTGTTTGATTTAAACCGACTAGCTGTGAATTTCATTTTGTGACCCCCCCCAGGTTTTATGCTTTGGGAACAAGTAAATTGCTTTTCCTATTTACTTTCTCAACACCAATCATGATTTTATAGCCCTCTATCATGTCCCCTTTTAATCTCCTCTTTTCTAAGATGAAAAGCCCCATTCTTGTTAATATCTCATCCAGCAGCCATTCCAAACCCCTCATCATTTTGCTGCACTTTTCTGAACTTTTTCCAATCCTAAGATATCTTTTTTGAGACGAGGCTCTACCCAGCTACACCCAGTATTCCAGATGTGGGCATACCTTGGATTTACAAAGAAGCAATAAGATATTCTCTGTCTTATTTTCTATCCCTTTTTACATTATTCCCAACATTCTGTTTGCTTTTTTGGCTGCTGCTGCCCATGGAGTAAGTGTTTTCAGAGAACTATACACAATAACTCCAAGCAACATGCATTACTTTGCATTAATCAACGTTAACGTTCACCTGCCATTTTGTTGCCCGGGCACCTAACTTTGTGAGATGCTTTAGAAGCTCTTCACAGTCTGGTTTGGACTTAACTCTCTTGAGCAATTTGGCATCTTCTGCAAATGTTTCCACCTCACGGTTTACCCCTTTCTCCAGATCATTTATGAATGAGTTGAATAGGACTGGACACAGGACTGACCTGGGGACACCACTAGTTACCCCTCTGCATTCTGAAAACTGACCATTTATTCCCACCCCTTGTTTTCTATCTTTTAACACATTTTCAGTCTGTCAGAGGGAAGGGGCTGGAGAGGTGGTGGGGTGTGAGAGTGAGTGTTGGGGCACAATGAGGGGCTCAGAGTGGGGTTCCCATCCAGGGAAGGCCTT